CACTGCACTCCAGTCTGGGCGACAGAGTGAGACTCCGACTCAAAAAAAAACAAAACAAAACGAAAAGCCACTTCCTCCTGCCATGGGGATGCTGCCGCACTGTCAGAGGCAGAGCATTCCAAGGATCATCTGGTTCCTGGAGAAGCCAGCAGAGGACTGAGTGAAGGCGTGCAGGTCAGCTGGTGAAATCCAGCGGGAAAGTCTCTGAAATTTCAAAGGGACATTAGTGTTTGAAAAGATCAGAGGGAGCTAGCATTTTACAAAGGAACACGAAGCAAGAACCTTCAGGGACTCCTCCATGGATGTGCTTTTGGAGTGAAACGAAAGCACACAGGCAATGGGACAGGCACCAGGATCTGAAGCTCCGAGGTCAAGACATAAAGTTAAAGAAATGCTACCCGCAGCACGCCTAGCAGAAGGGCTCATGAAGACAGCTATGGTTTTAGAGGTAAAGAACTGGAACACTGATCTCCCCCACGATGTGATTAAGTACAGACACCTCAAAGCCACGGATACTAGGCTGGTCTGGCATCTGGAGCAGAAAGTGACAGTTCTCAATGACGCAACATGGAATTTAAAAGTCCCTTGAACGTGGTTGTTTCCTAAAAAAATTGATGAAGTTAAATTTTTTTTTTAAATAGAGGAGACTGACTGAAAACCACAGTAGCAGCTCGTGGAAATACACACTTGGCAGAAGAGCAGGAGAGACATGAAGGGAATGCCATGCGTGAGGGCTGTGAGCCTCAGCCGAGCCTCGTGGAATGTCAACACTCATCCGAAGAGTGTGTGCTCTCCAGGGAGTGAACGTGAGAACACAGAAAACAGGCCAGTCTGATGGAACAGGGCTTACTCTTAAGGCCGGATGCAGTGGCTCAAGCCTATAATCCCAGCACTTTGGGAGGTCGAGGCAAGGGGATTGCCTGAGCCCAGGGGCTCGAGACCAGCCTGGGCAACTTGATGAGACCTCGTCTCTACAATAAATGAAACAATAAGCCAGGCGAGGCAGTGCTCGCCTGTAGTTCCAGCTACTTGGAATGCTGAGGCGAAAGGATCACCTGAGCCCAACAGGTCGAGGCTGAGGTGGCCATGAGCGTGCCGCTGCACTCCTGGGCAGCAGCGTGAGACTCCGACACAAAAAAAGACACATTAAATGGATTTAAGGCTCTAAGAGAAGTGGGGGGCAAAGAAGCCAATTCATCTCCCTCCTGAGACCTGTGGGAGAGAAGGAGAAGGGACCACCCGGACTCAGGTCTCAATGTGGCATACGGCTCACGTGGACGCACGAGGGATGCATCACCTGCCATGAGAAACATGGCAGCCATTTTTTTCTCTAACAACAAATAGTTAGGACAACACTCATCTTTTTGTCAGCTCCCCAAGTAACTGTTCTTTTGACATGTCTGTGAAAAACTCTCAAAAGCTGAAGAGCTTCTTAGTAAACCAAAAAATTAAAAAGAGGCCCAGGCACGGTGGCTCACGCCTGTAATCCCAGCACTTTGGAAGGCAGAGGAAGGAGGATTGCTTGAGCCCAGGAGTTTGAGGCTAGCCTGGGCAACAACACAGCAAGATCTGGTCTGTACAGAAAAATCAAAAAATTAGCCAGGTGTGGTGGTGTGCACCTGTAGTCCTAGCTACCCAGGAGAGGGTGAGGAGGAAGGATTTCCTGAGCCCCAGAGGTCGAGGCTGCAGTGAGCCATGATTGTGCCACCGTATTCCAGCATGTGCAACAGAGTAAGGCCCTGGCTCAGAAAAGAACAAAAAAAGGAAATCAAAAGAGCCAACTGAGTGCAGAGTGAGCTGAGGTGGAGTCTTCATCCTGGAAGCCCCTAAGAACAGAACGGAAAATGTGAACGGAAGGTCAAATTCCTATGCACCACGGAGACAAGAACGACTGAGAACATCAACCTGCAACTGAGAAGAGGAGGCTCAGGGGAACCCACGAGAAGCACACAGTGGACCGGCAGCCTGGTGCCCTGAAGAAACGGATGGAAGCACACCAGAAGAATGGCCTGCTTTTGGTACTGCGGTTTAGATAAAGGATTTCAATTCAATATTTTGGCTTTATTCAACAATCTTAGCTCATACTGTTTTTCAGATTATGCCCCAGGTATGTTAATTCTCTCATGACCCTCCAACCAAAAATGAACGAGGCTCTCTGGGTTAAGAGCTCCAGGCCAAAGTATGGCTGCCTCTGAGACCTGGCAACCGTACCTCATGGATTTGTCTTTCTTTTGAAAGCTGCAGGCAGCTAACAGTTAAGGTCAGATGAACACAGACCGAAGCCCAAGAGGCAAAGAACAAAACCAACCAAACAAACAAAAGGAAGCATGAAGAGAGGTGGTTACGTGAGCTGTGACCCCGAGCGACTCTCACAGTTGTAATCCTTTGGCTCTCCAAACCATCTCTGAAAGTTCATCTCGGAATTTAATAAGGCTTTCTGGCCTTCAGTGCTATCCACAAATCCTAGAAACTGCTTTGGGCCATTTCAACATCCAGTCCAGGTCATTCGGCCTGAGCTCTCCATGAACAGCCCCGGAGCATCGTGTCCGGGGACCTCAGGGGGGCGCTCACCACGTCTCCCGAGGAGCGCACATTTAGATCACGAGAGTGAAAAAGCAACAAGACCTAGACAGAAAAACCGAGGCAGGGCCAACCCTCCTCAAAGGAAAACAGGAAGACTTGGCAAGCTCCAGCGGGACTCCCAGACTCTACCCTCTGTAACCTAAAAGGCACAGTCCAAAAATGCAAAAAGCAGAATTATTAACAGGCAAGACACACTAGACCGTAACAGAAGCCTGAATTTCCTACAAAGTTACAAAGAGTGTCCTCAAACCTACCAAGACATTCGTTCAAGATGTAGCAAAATCGACTATCCACATCAGCAGGCTTTTTACTGGAATCTTTGACTCACCTGAAAGTGTCAACGTTAAAATATTTCCATGTCCTCCCCTTTATTATAGAAAAATGAGAAATTAAGAAAATGATAAGCCGGGCATGGTAGCGCGTGCCTGTAATTCCAGCTACTCGGAAGGCTGAGGCGGAAGGATCGCCGGAGCCCAGCAGGCCGAGGCTGCGATGGCTGGGAGCGGCCACTGCACTTCAGTCTGGATGACAGAGCGAGACTCCAACTCAAAAAAAAAAAACAAAAACAAAAGAAAAGAAAATGATAAAAAAAAGAAGAAAAAACCCAACGGTCCCAGCAACCGGAAGTGAGAACTGCAAGAATTATGGCATATTTTTTCTTTCTCTTATTTATACACCTATAAATATTTCCGTTTATGCATCTTTGTATTTCTGTACATATATAGTATGTTATACATTTACAAAATCAGAGTAATACCTCAGAGTTTTAGGTATGGCTCTTTTCACTCAGTACTTCGTGAATGCTTATCCAGGTATTAGATGTTCTTTAAAAGCATGATTCCTAATTTTTTTCAGTGCACTTTAACAATCGTTAGCCCGTTTCCTATTTCTTGCTGTTATAAACACATGATATTGTTATAATGTACCTACATCTTTGACCATTTGTCAGCATTCCTCTAATATTCTTCTCAAGTGAAATCAGAGTGAAAAAGAGTATAAATATTTGATACATTTCTAATGAAAAATTTAAAACTCTAAATTCATGAGTCAGAGCGCAACAATTCTCAAATACTCGTACTGGAGCACTGTCATGTTCTCATGTGAGTATCAGTATGTAGTGAGACTGTACAAAGAAAAGTGAATCAGCATGGAGGAAACACGGAACAATTCTGTAAAATGCAAAATACACGGAATCCCAGGTGTATCAAGGCTGCTGCGCCCTAGCTGCACACTGACGACATGCCTGTGGGCCCAGGGCCTCAAAGCTACAGGGCAGGGAAGTTAACAGAAGCCAGGGCAATTGCAGGGGGTATTTCAGAGTCTGGCTCTGATTATCTTCAGGCCACTACAGTTTGCCATGAGTGCAAAGGCAGGCCTGCAGGGTTGCCAGCACCAAGCAAAGATATACAGATATGAAAAGGGTGCCCACCCTCCACTCCTGAGACATCTACTCTCCCTTCCAAGGGGATCTATTTTCGGAATACTTCAAAATTGAGGCTGGGCATGGTGACTTACACCTGTAATCCCAGTACTTTAGGAGGCCAAGGCGAGAGGATTGCTTGAGCCCAAGGAGTTCCAGACTAGCCTGGGAAGCATAGCAAGACCTCCTCTCTACAAAATATCAAAAAATTAGTTAGGCATTGTAGCATGCGCCTGTAGTCCCAGCTACTGGAGAGGCCGAGGCAGGAGGATCACCTGAACCCAGAAACTGAGGCTGCGATGAGCCATGACGGTGCCACTGCCCTCTAGCCCGGGCACCTGTGTGAGATTCCAACTCAGAAAAAAAAGACAGAAGTGTGCCTTCACTTTACAAGAACTATCCAAAGATAACAATGAGCCCTTGACGTGGTCCCAGAACATGTCCATTTTCTTGCCAAAGCCTACACTTAATAAAGGTGGCTGGGATGAAAGTGAAGAAATCAGCACCTGTGGGTGGGACTGCGGCAAGGGGACACAGAGGCTTTGTTTGGATCCCCAAACTCACCGGAGTCACCACATGTCCACCGCCACCACATTAACTGGCAGCTAAGTCCCAACAACTATGTTGTATCTGACATACACACAAAAGGATTTCCTCCAAGGCCTGACAGACAACACTTTGGAGAGTCTTAACTTTAAAGCATTCCCATAGTGTGGCCCAGAGACCACAATTCCAGTGTCCAGAATTACTGCTGAAAAAGCAAAACAAAAGCTGACATTAAAATGGTCCAGACGTTCTTAGATGAGAAACAAGGAAAACATGCTGGCTGCATTTCCCATCACAGGGACTCTGCTTTCTCCGAACCTCATTTCCTCTCTGGAAGTAGGGTCCAAAAGGTGAAACCGGAAAACCCATGCTTGCAACTTTTCAGTAGAGTAGGATTCTTTTCTCACCTTTTAAAACTGCTTTTCCTTGAAGCAGATCTGGTGGTTCTTTTAGTAATCCCTGCACTGCCAGAAATGTTAGGGTCAGATGTTTTACAGCTCTGAACACTCGACTGAAGAATTACTCTGAAAATAGTTGGAAAAGATAAGATTATATTCACTGAAACAACTTTCAAATACTTGACAGAGATATTATTGCACTTCAGTGCAAATTATTTTATTGAGAATCGATATAATTTTTTTCCATGAACACCAAGATTCTAAAACACTTTTTTACATCGAGGCCTTTTGAAATGAAGCACCTCAGTTCCCTTTGAAGGTCACACACACAGAGATAACCAGAGTGATTTTGCTTTGGAAAACCCAAATGACCTGGCATTTTAAGCAATTCCCACACCAAAGAAATCCATCAGCCAAACAAATCTTTGTGCCCAAAGTAAAAGCAGATACTCAGGTTTCTAGTCATGAAATAAGACATCATTAAGAAACCCTAAATTCTAAAGGATAAAAATCTAAATTTAGGAAAGAGCTATACCATATTCGCTCTTCAGCGTAGTAATAAACACTAAATGAGTACTAATTTCATAACATTTCAAAACTCTAAAATACGCTCAAGCAAAATATGAGTTTTGTCTGTATTATAACTACTTACTAAATCTATGAGAACCATTAAAATGAAAGTGAAACCACTTAAATTTTGTAAAGCCTTCCTTAAACTAAACTCTAAAAATCTTAAGGAATCAGTGCTCATGAGAATAACTGCCCAGAAGACAAATACATAAATAAGAAAATAACACCCTCATAAAGAAACCAAACCAAAAACCAAAACCCAAAACCAACAAACCCTCAAATAAAAGTCCAAGCAGAATACACTGTTCATAAATAGAGGGTCCTTTGTTTTTTCCTCTTTAACTTATCATTGGGAAACAGCAGAAGATATCAAAAGATTTTTTGAACCTAATCATGACCTAATCACCTTCTAAAGACCCCACATCTTAACCCTACTGCATTGGGGATTACGTTCTTTTGTTGTTGTTTTCCTTTTGTTTTGTTTTGTTTGTTTTTGAGTTGGTGTCTCACTTCATCACCCAGGCTAAAGTGCAGTGGCAGGCTCACGGCCACCCCTGCTGGGCTCCGCAATCCTTCCACCTCAACCTTCCAAATAGCCGGAACTACAGGTGCGTGCTATCTCATTCGGCTAATTTTTTTAATTTTTATTGTGGAGACGAGGTTTTGCCAAGTTGCCCAGGCTGCTCTTGAACCCGTGAGCTCAGGCAATTCACTCGCCTCGGCCTCCCAAAGTGCTGGGATTACAGACTGATTCACTGAGTCTGTCTGGGGATTAAATTTTAACATGAGTTTTGCAGGGACACAAATATTCACACCATAGCCTCTTTTTCTCTTACATCTTTTCACAATGGAGTGTCTACAGACACAGACTTTTGACCTCACCATTTTCTTTCTTTTTTTTTTTTTTGAGTTGGAGTCTCACTCTGTCGCTCAGACTGGAGTGCAGTGGCCGCTCCCGGCCACTGCAGCCTCGACCTGCTGGGCTCCGGCGATCCTTCCGCCTCAGCCTTCCGAGTAGCCGGAATTACAGGAGCACGCTACCACGCCTGGCTTATTTTTTGATTTTATTGTAGAGATGAGGTCTCGCCAAGTTGCCCAGGCGGGTCTCGAACCCTTGGGCTCAGGCCATCCACTCACCTCAGCCTCCCAAAGGCGCGGGATTACAGGCTGAGCCACCGAGCCAGGCTTCAAAAGATTTTATAAGAAATTATTTTCTTTAAGAAAGAATCACTGTCAAACTGGACGGCATATACTTTTTTTTTTTTTTTGAGGCAGAATTTCACGCTGTTGCCCAGGCTGAAGGGCAATGGCATGATCATAGCGCACCACAACCTCGGACCTCCTGGACTCAGGTGATCCTCCCACTTCAGCCTCCCAAATAGCTGGGACTACAGGCACACGCCATCACACCCAGTTAATTTTTTGATTTTTTTTTTTGTAGAGACGAGGTCTTGCTATGTTGCCTAGGCTGGTCTTGAACTCCTAGGCTCGAGTGATCCTCCTGCCTCAGCTTCCCAAAGTGCTGGAATTACATACAGGCATGAGTCACCAAGTCTGGCTAGCTATCCCTTGTTTTTATGTATCGATTTTTTTTTATCTGAAAGAGAAAACACTCACTTAAAAGCCGCCCTCTCTCACATTCAAACTTAAAGGTGAGATGGCAAATAACGCACAAGGATCCAGCTCAAAAGAGCAAAAAGAAACCATTACAACTAATGCGCACCCTCCCTCACATGCTTGCGTATCCAACCATGCTGGCTAATAACCAAAGCCAGGGCTTCAGGAACAACCTCATCTGGTAAAGGAGAGTAAATTCTTACAAACTTAGGATGATCCGAAACAAAGCATACCCAGCACGCAGTAAACTGCTAAACTTCTCATCGCTAAAAATGCAATGAGCTTTCCAGAACCAGAGCACAGCCTGCAGTACCACTGGGTCCGTTTATGGGGGGAGCAGCTTCCTTGCGGTTCCATTTCATCCATGTAGGGTTTCTGAAAGCCCCACAAACACTAGCCTTAACCCTCACAGAGGGACACAAATCCTGGGTAAACGAGCCAACGCTTGGTTCAGCACTTACCCTACAGTGTGACCATCTGAAGACTTGAATATTCTTACAAAATGGAAAAAGCATATGTGGGCCGAGTTGTAGGATCAAAGGAGGCATCTGCTGCCCGAGTTTATGAATTCTACTCCTGAAAACAAGAAACTGTTTAAAAATTATTTCTTTCGTCGTTTCTTTAAAAATTTAAATTTTAAAAAATAGAGACGAGGTCTTGCTATGCTGTCCAGGATGGTCTTGAACTCTTGGCCTCAAGTGATCCTCCTGCCTTGGCCTCCCAAGGTGCTGGGATGACAACCATGAGCCAGCAACGCCAGACCTGAAAGTTATTTCTGATTATAGTAAGCAAGGAGGAAATATTTGTCTCTATTAAGAATTTGATTCTAGAATTCTGCATCAAGAAAACGAAACAAAAAAATGCTGATGCTTCACTGCTACTCCAAAGTTCAGGACTGGGGCTGGCATGGCCTCTCTGTTTCCCCTTCCTCGGCTCCCCACACACGGAGAAGATGAGACTCATATTGGCTTTTTCTGAAATACAGCACCTACTTCTCAAATAATCTGAGGCCACAGATGGCCACAAGTCTAGACAACAATCACAGCATAAAATCACTAATATGAGAAAAAAACCAAAACACCAGGAAATCTGAGTCCTGATTTCTCAAGTTAACTACTACTACCATGTTCAAACACTATTCAAAACAAGAAACTACTGCTAAATTAAACAGTAATTCTCAGGTTGATAGGAAATGGGCCTTATATAAAAGTATTTCTTTTTCAAGAAAATTAGTATAAATGAATGTGAGATAACAGAATAACATTTCGCAGCTAGTAATTTCTTTGGGCCTTTAAAACTAAGAGAATAATAAAAAATTTAGAATGCATCAATTACACCAGAGAAGATTCCAGTTGCTTGCACTGACAACAGAGCGGTTATCTTTTCTGTAGGCTATGCGTCAATAAAGTGGGGAGAAAAATTTTAAAAAACTTGGCAATTACACTGAGATATTTCCAGCAACAGCCTCCCAGGCAGCACCTGGTGAGGTGGCCAAGAGCAAGGGAAGTGTCCCTCTGCCACCGGGAACCTGGGGATTCACCCCCTCCTGCCTTCCAAACCCCGCCGACTGCAGGGGTCTCTCAGAGCCACTGTCAGCAGGTACTCTTCCCTCCTGTCCAGCTCTCCTGGCCACATCCTCAGCCCTGCTTACTTCCTGCCTGCACTGTAGCTCACCTTCTTCTCTGCAGCGCCTCTAAGCCCTCAGCTCTCTCGGTTTCGGATCCGGTGAAATTTGCAACTCAAGGCCCACGGCAACGCAAAACACAGGAAAACTGGGTCTCTCCCGAGATGCTTGACCACGAATGTCCAATTCCAAGACAAGAACCCACCAGAGCAACCATGCGCTGTGCACAGCGACTGTCTGCCACAGCCACTGAAAGAGCTTGCAAGGCGATGGCCCGGGGCCCCGCCACCTCCGGGGGCCTTTCCCGCCACCCGAGTCCGGCCTAGCATCTGACGCGCTGGTGGCCTCATTCTCCAGGTGTGACCGGGGATGGGAGCCTTTCCAGGAACAGCCCACCTGGTGGAGCTGCCCCACCCGCACTGTCTGCCCGCAGAGATGGAGGCTGAAAACGAGGGCACTCCCAAGTCGTGGCCTCACCACCAAAAGCCACTCGCAGAGGCAGCCACGGGGGGCTACAAAGACTCCATGTGTTCACACCACTGGAGTCATCGGACTGTGTTGCTTCTGCAACTTCCGGATGAGTTACTCAGAATAAACTGAGTAACACTCGGCGTGGGTCTAGAAATGCAATGGCAGACGTCAGTAACACCAACAGAAGAGTGCAGCCTACGTAGAATGTTGAAAAGAAAAGAGGCTGGTAGAGACCATTTTAAACTCACCCTGGGAATGAGAAGACAACTACAAAGTCCCTAGGTAATATCAGTGACAACTCACTCCGCCCATTCAGAACATCTTACGGGCTGGGCACGGTGGCTCACTCTTATAATCTCAGTACTTTGGGAGGCAGAGGTGAGAGGACTCCCTGGGCCCAGGGGTTTGAGCCCAACCTGGGTAGCCTGGCAAGACCTCACCTCTACAATAAAATAAAAAAATTAGACCAGCGTGGTGGTGCACACCTCTAGTTCCAACTACTTGAAAAACTGAGGTAGAAGGATCACCTAAGCCCAACAGGCTGAGGCTGCAGTGGCCGTGAGCATGCACTCCAGCCTGGGTGACAGAGTGAGACTCTGGCTCAAAAACCAAAGAATTAGCAGGCACACACCTTAGTCCCAGCTACTTGTAAGGTTGAGGTGGGACAATTGCTTGTGCCCCGAAGCCCGAGGCTATGGTGAGCTGTAAACAGGCCACCATGCCAGCCTGGGCAACAGAGTGAGACTCCCAACTCAAAACAAAATAAAACAACAATAAAAAACCCAACTTACCTGGGGAATGAGAATACAACCACAAAGTGCCTAAGTATTATAAACAACTCACT